TATCACTAAGTGTTTTTTGTTCATTGAGTTTTACAACAATATGTACTACCAGATTGATCTTTAATCGATGCAAATTGGGAAGCTTCAGTCAATCAGAGGTTTATTTTCAAATATCTCTGTGACCTAGGCTGAACCTGTTTGTGTTACTCCCTCTTATATTGAAAATGAACAGAGAGCTCAAATGAGACATGGTTAAGAAAACTCAACAGTATTTTTATTATGGTTTGTTCAGAATCCAAAACTCCTCAGAAATAATTCTCAAGTAATTTTGACAAATAACAATGAATTACACAACCATGAATTACACAAATAACTAATCAAATGTAACAAACACTAGCTAACAGCCTATTAAATATGAAGTTAATGTATATGCACTGAACCAACTCTTGACTCAGAGGGTTTGTACCTCTACCCAGTCAAGACACATACCTTCCTGATGTTATCAAGTAAAAAGCAACCAAGAGCCACCTGATGCTCTTCCTTTTAAAGCCATTGTGGCCCTCCCTCCCCATTTTAGGGTATCCAATCTGAAAGTATCTGAACCAATTATTTATAGTCCAATCAGAATCCTTCCCTCAGTTGCCCAATAGGGGACAAATATACTTTCCAATCCTTCATTTGCTTATTAGAATGTTAAGTGACTCCGACAAACTGTTGCCAGTGATGCCTTTGGAATCTCGATGGCGTCATCCGGGTCACATCTATTTAAATATTATTTGAACATTACGCTGAAAACCGATATGCTCATGTGCTAGTTCTTTTCCGAACTTTCGGCGTTTGTACAGGTTTACCCAAGCGCATTCGAGTCAGACAATAACTACATTTAAACAATCAATGCTTTAAACTACATGATACAAACATTAAACACTTTCAACAGGTTAATGTTTCCAAAGCATACATTAAAGAACAGGAAATATAATTATTAAAGACAGACAGGTTATATAAAAGAGGGGGACTGTGACGGTAGTGTAGGATTGAAGTGAAGTTGAAACTTTCGGAAAAAAATTCTCTTTACTGGGAGTGGCATAGGCATATTTGTTTTCGGTTATCTCCTATTGTTCATGAGTTATTTTCAGTTTTGAGTTTTTCGCTGCAGTTACAACTGGTGGCCAACGAAGCGCTGTGGCATCCTGCGTCACAGAGCACGCACATAGCCAAGCGCAGGAACAACATAAAGAACACAGAGAAAGCTAAGCTGCGGCAACAACAACAAAATTACATTTTTAAAGCACTGAGTCCTCCCACAGGAGTCCTCCCACAGGAGTCCTCCCAGATCAGTATAGATAAAGATGAAATGTCTGTCTGTGTGTCAATCTACATTCCATATTGGATTATTTGGTTGCAAGTGAAGCTGCAATGGGTACAGCTAGTATATTATAAGTTCAGATATATCTGAAAAGCCATTTATTCTGTTATTCAGTCAAAGTATCAAACTAATGAATTATGATTGTAAATTGAGTTGATTGTAAAAGAGAGACATATGACTAGATAGAAGACTAATTAAATTGATTTGTGACCTTCAGGACAACCTTATGGGGTATATAGTTTGGTAGAATTTGGTAACATTTTCACGTTGTTTTCCTTTTCTTTCTAGGCTATTCCAGTCTATTATTTTCCTTTATATTGAAGCCTCCGAGTCTATCTCAGTGGTTGTCATTTGGTATTAATTAGTGATAATTTTTAATTGGAGTGACTATTTTTGTAAACAAATGTGACTGCAAATTTGTGTACTTCAATGATTCACAAGGCTGATATTTACTTTAGTGAAATGTAATTTCTGTAACACGGTAGATTGCCCTCGTCATTTACCTTTCATGGGGACGGGGGAGGGTCTTGGCATGCATGGAAACGTCTTGCTGTGCTTAAAGAGTCTCCAATTCTAACTGCAGTACTGAGAACACATGGAGGTGGAGTGAGTGCCTACTGTCAGGTTGGGAGTGTGCAAACCTCTCCAGCATGTTCCATTTGAAGGATCACAGCGTGGCACATGACCTTGGTTGAACTGAGTGATAGATTTCTTTCATCTTTATAAATTGCTTTGGTTTCTATCATGCTGTCTTTAACACTCTAAATTTTTAACATTCCTGTCCTAGTCTGGGGAGACTAAGTACTGTAGGTCTTGCTTTTTTTTAACCACTCAAGTAAACGCCTGAATTTGTAACAAGATATTAATGTCTACAGATAATTTTTGGCAATACAGTAGTTAAAAAGTGCTTGATACAACTCTCAGGTTAGAAAGATAAGGCATATATCAGGAAACACTTCCACTGCTGTAAATGAGCAGTCAATGAGTACTCAAAATAAAAAAAATCAAGGTCTTATTCTAATCTTTTGCTCAATTGAACTTTTATTATAAATCTTATACTGTTTTTCAGTACAATATATTTTTTNCATTGCCCTTATCCTTCAACCCCATTCTTATTTATTGTCTCGAACATCAAAATTCATCAGTTATCAACCTGAAACATTAACTAATTTTCCTCTCTTCATCGACTTGCTGTGTGTTCCCAGTGATTTCTGTTTTTCTTTCAGATTTCCAGCATCTGCAGTATTTTGCAGTATTTTGCCTTTTGATCAAAATTCATGTCAGCTTTGCATCTCTCCATTCTTTCCTTTTATCCTCACAACCAGGCTATTCAAAAAAAATAGTTCATCTGCTTGTAGGGAGGAGAAAATAACACCTTGCAAAAGTCAAAAACAAGTCAACACTGATCAATGGATGTAAGATCTTACCATTACATTGTCATTTCAGCCGTGATACGGCCAACACGCTGCTTTTCACATGAAACCCACAGCTCTCTTGCTTGTCAAAACTGAAGGTCACTGAATATAACCATATTGATAGCTACTGAGTAAATATACAAGGTCTAAAGCAAGGTCTGGGCCTGAATATGGATGCATGACCAAATATTCAGCATATCTTGTTGTTTAGATAGTTGCCTCATTGTGCTTTATTGAAATGCACTATTACATTTTGTCCTTTTTAACCCATGACAAATATGACCTTACCAAAAAATTAGAAGGATACATCTTTTAAATGCTATTACAAAGCCAGGACTCCAAACACCGGAAAAACTCTCCAACTTGATCCCTCCCTCCCCTCTTTCAAGGTATGTCTTAAAATGTACCATTTGGCAGTTCTTCTGGTTATCTTTCCCATCCTCAATCCCCTCAGATCCGACTCTCAGCTCCAGTCCCAACCAGTATTGTCACATACTTCAGGATGTCCTCCCAAAGTGAACGGCGCTGTATAAGTGGACATTGTATTATGTTGTAAATTCAACTTAAATAATTTAAATGTTGATTCGAAATGACTAAAACACAGCTGGATGAAACTGCAACCAATGGCAATGATTCTATTCTCAAACCACCTTAAAGAATAATAAGGGTATTAAAGGTTATGAGGTAAAGGCAGTAAATAGGATTTTATAATAATAATAATAATCCTTGCATTTGATATAGCACTTTTCACGTCGGGAGGACGTCCCAAAGCGCTTCATAGAACACACTGTAAAGTGAATTGACTGTATATTTGTGGGCGAACGCGGCAGCCAATTGCGCACAGCAATGTCCCACAAACAGTCGTGGATTGAAAATGACCAATTTATTATTATTGTTTTTGGTTTTGGAGGGATTATTATTAGGCGTGTGGAGTAAGGAAACTTGCCCAAGGTTTCGCCCTGCCTGGAATTGAACTCAGGTCTCTCACTTGCAAAGCGAGTGCCCTAACTACTGAGCTACAGGACTCCACAGGACTTGTGTTATTATATAGGCAAACATAGCAGCTAAGCTGCACTACAATCAATGAGATGAATAACCAGTTGGTGGAGGCCAAAACACAGGAATTATTTAAGAAACATTTGATGTGTATGGGAGAATTGTACACTGGATACTCTATAAGGATAAGATCAAATGAACAGCTTTCTTCAACTGAAGCCCTCGTGTGATCTTGAAACTTTTGTTTTGGTGAATTTGAATGAGAGAGGAATAATGGTCAGGACACTGGGAAAACTCCTTACTCTTCTTCAAAATGGCGCTGTGCGATTTTGAATGCCAGCTGTGCCAACAGTTATAACCTCAATGTATATATAGCATCTCCAATTTTTGCTTCCAAATTTCATTTTACATAGCAAAAATATTTCCTTATCAGCTAGCTACCAACGTCGAACCGTTTCTGGTATTCTGGTACTGCTGTTATAGTAGAGATTGGCAGCTATGACCTGAGGGTATTTGTATGTACTTCTCTATATTAGTCCTACATCTACTTTAAAAGATATGGAGCATTGTGCAGCAAATATGTTCTATGACATTTTTCCTTTGTTTGTGCTTTGTGTTTTTCCTTTGAAATGTTTAATCATTTATTAAAGCTGATGTGCTAAACGTAATAACCAAATAACAATGGTTTTGTTTCCTCATCATAATTAAACATTCCCTCTCTTGAAGGTTTACTGTAATTGTCATAGTGGATTATGATTGTGGACAGATGTTAAGGTTTTCCCTCTTATTGCTTCATATTTCTGACAGTCCCAAGCATATACTTGTTTCAAATTGGGAACCTCTTGTTTTAGAGTTGCATTTTAAAAGCAATTTTTTTTGTATTGGGGATGAATGGTCATTTTGCCATGATTTGTGCATGCATGAAATTAAGTTGCAGTTAAAGGTACTGGCAGTTGAAATACAATTATCTTTGCATTGTGTGAAATCTTGGGGTAAAATTTGCAATGTTCCTTAACAGATTCCTTGACTTAATTAGCACAAGGAATGCATGAACAAACTCTGCAAATTTTATCCCATTAATTGTGAAGCACCTAAAGTTACAAATATTGTAATGTTATTGCTGTTAATTCTGCTCTCACGTACTCAGATTGTACTCAGTTCATCATTTTAGCTACAGTAATTCCTAAAGGATGTGCTCAACACTTGTCATTTAAACACAATTTTAGAAAGCACAAAAGACTGTTTAACTAATTTAACTCTTTTAACTGATTCATTTTCAAAAGTGGTCCTGATGCTGAGGCTCCCTTTTCAATGCTAGAATGGTGTGTCCTCGAACAAGTAGAAAGAAAAGAATTATCCTGAGTACTGCACTAAAACTCTCTTGGTGGTAATTACGGAAAGGAAAGCCATCAATCAGCAGACAATAGTTATGCTGCATGTGGGAGACTTCTGTGAGTATTTCTGATGAGAAAGGTCTGTTACAGATACTTGTGAAAGACAAGGATTTGATCTCGGCATGTAAGTTCTATAGAAATGGTAATCTCCTCTGAAGTCTGTTTTTCCCCTTTCTATAGTGTCTCTTTGCTGCTATGAGGTATTTCTGACCAAAGCCAACATGACTTTCACATGGAGTGTTTCTGAACTCACCAAAATGGGAAGAACAATGAATGACTGGTCCTAATATTTAAAACTACATGAGTTGCAACTAAATAACACATTCAATTTGAAATTATTCAAAGAAGAAAATATTGTTCCAGTTATTGGTTTGAATGTTGTTCAATCTGCTCAGTTTAATAATACATGGAAGATAGTGATCTATCCTAACATATGGGTAATGTGGCACACAAGCATCCAGTCAATAGAGTTTGTTGTTTTATCTCAATAATTCCTGCCAGTGCTGCAACACAGATGATATTTGCTGTTACTGCTGTGTAAACAGTCAAAAGACATCTGGTTACAAAATAGATTGACTAGCATCCAGGTTTGTGCTTCTCTGTGTATTCTGTGATGTTCAATTTGACTCATTCTGAGTTGAAACAAATTGTCACAGGTATAGTCTGATTGTCGCCAGAAATAAAGATGAGAATATATTTTGACTCTTCGTTCTGAGCTCACACCTCTGAGAAAATATCAATGACTGAGCAGTTTAGTGTGCTACTACTAACTAACTTCCTTTATTTAAATATACCTACGTAAGCAAAGATACAGTGATGACCATGCTAATAATAACAAACCTAGCAATAAACCTAGTTTCAAGATTATACTATCACAGCATTAACTTTGTTTATTTTAACATAGACTAACAGTAAAGTTCGGTTCTCACAGCAATACCATAGCTCACTAAGCTGTTCAGGTGGACATTAAAGCTCTCATGGCACTATTCAAAAAGAGAAGAGAGTTTCTCCCGGTGTCTTGGCCAACAATGCCAAGAATAAAATTGGTCACTTGTTTCATGGCTGTTTGTGGGGCGTTGCTGTACACAAATGTGTTGCCATATTTGCCTACAAATACACAGTCACGTCATTTCACAATAAATCCTGTGCTCTTCCAATGTGATAAGGTGCTTTACTAATAAAATTCAAAGCTTATTACTTTATGTACCTGGTAAGGATAGCATTTACTATAGTAATATAGTATAGTATGTAGAGTAGGGATCATATACTTTCATGTTTATGACCGGGGTAAGTGCAAGAAAAGAACAGGCAGCAGATGAACAGGGTTTTAAAGCATGATAATAATCCTTGCATTTGATATAGCACCTTATCACGTCTTTAAGACGTCTCAAAGCCCTTCACAAAATATACTGTAAAGTGAATTGACTGAATATTTTGTAGGTGAAACGCGGCAGCCAATTGTGCACAGCAGTGTCCCACAAACAGTCACGGATTGAAGTGACCAATTTATTATTAGTTTTTTTTGAGGGAATTATTAACCGTGGAAAAGCGACTTAACAAAAAGGTTCCTGCTTACTATTAGGTAAAGAGAGGCATGTGGAGTAAGGAACCTTGCCCAACATTTCGCCCTGCCAGTTGTCAGTCTCTTTTTCTCTACAACTCCTACAACACATTGTACAACAGATTCAGTTCTCTGGAACCCATCTTCAGCAATTATTTGCGATCTTTCTTACTAAATCAGTAGCCATCTTCTCTTTTCCTTCATTTTTGTCAAGGTCAGAAAACCCAAATAGTCTAAATCTGGAGGACGATTTTGTCTTAAAATTTCAGATTGTATAGAATTGTTGAAAATTCTCAATTCTTAATTTGGAATTTCTTAATTTTCTTAAGAACTGCAGAAAACCAACTTTGAAATTAAGACTAAATTGAAGAATTTTCCAAAATTCTGGGTAATTTTAAGACAAAGCATTTACAGGCTAAGGTTAGGTGAAATTTCAGGACTGAGAATGTAACAATATATTAGTACTTACTTAAACTGTTGCACTCTATTAGATTCCCACAAATATAGCTTTCATCACTGTACTGTTGGAATAATTGTTCAATTATTACATTACTCAGTAATATCAAACAATGATGTTAATGACTGCTGACAAGCTGCACAGCCCTGTTAATCATACGGAAATTAGGCTAAGCAACAACTGGTAAGCTTGGAAGCTAATGTTGATGGGTTTGCTATGCCACTGCACAACTCATATTACCTGACTGTTACACGATTGAAACAAAATGCTGCAGCTTAAATTCCTTGTTATGCAATTGAGGTAGTGCCTCAGGCAATCTGACCAGTCATAGAAAGAAAATATCATTTATGCATAGATTTTCATTTGTTGCAATTAAACTAAAGAAAACATTTACTAGAAATTATAACTATCTGACAAACCTCTCCACAGGGATTCCTCCCTAATACATTTTGATATTAAATGGAGTCATATTATCAATATTTTTATTTCACAAGGCAAACTCTGTAGTGTTTGATATGTTACAGCAACCCCCATACAGTTATCACTTTCCTATGGTACTTTTTCAAAGCATAATAATATGCAACAGGCAACAATCATAGTACAAGGTGAACTGTAGAAAGTTGGTGCCATTTTTTTCACTCTGGTTATGGTAAGCGTATTGTGAACGTAAGCTCTTGATTAAACTATGCTTGCTTGCAGCCTTTCGAAGCTACTTTCATATTTAACACAATGATCTTATTGGAACAAAGCTCGCCCTAGTTAAGTTCTCCAATTTGTTTTGCAGCAGTCAGGTTGCACTTGGCTGTACCAAGCTGCACAGATTTCCTTCAGCATACTTGGCACTATTTCCAAATGAAAACAATGGTCCAGTCTCCTCGCAGCTTACTTCCAGTAATCAGGAGTTTAATTCAGTTGTACACAAATGAATGTGGGTCAAGATCAGAAGTTGGTTTAAATGGCAACCCAGTTAATATATTTTTTAATTAAAATCTAAAGAGCAAGATCATTTAGTATCGTTGCTCCAATAAATTATACCTATACAGTACATTGCAATGCTGATCACATTTTATTTTGTAAATTGCTGTCAAACATATTTGAAATTGTTTATAACCTTCATATTTTGAAACCTTGGGCAAGTTTTCTTACTCCACATGCCTGATAATAATCCCTCCATAACAAAACAATAATAAATTGGTCATTTTCAATCCATGGCGATCGCTTTTCTGGGGATAATATTCCCTAAAAAAATTAATAATTTGGTCATGACTGTTTGTGGGACACTGCTGTGCACAATTGGCTGCCATGTTTCGCCCACAAATATACAATCAATTCACTTTACAGCACATTTTGTGAAGCTCTTTGAGACGTCTAGAAGACGTGAAAAGGCTATATCAAATGCAAGGATTATTATTATTATATTTTTGTATTTGACCACAGTTGATGAAGATATGAAGTTCAACATAATTGTTTGTTACAGGTTGCCTCTAACCAACAGAAAGCCACAACTTGGCTGAAAGCGACAGAGAAGCGTACACATGCCTTTATTATATTCAAGAATCTATATGTTACAATTCAGTAAAACACATTTTTTCTTTCGTGATAATGAATCTTTTCACTCAGGTGGCTGAATAGTTTATAGCACACCCTGCTGGCAGACAAAGCTGCTTCATATCATATCATAGGGAAGCTTACAAGATCACAAGTTTGGATGTAGAAGGCCCTTTGACCTATTTGATCTCATGTTTGCAGAATATCCACCCGACTACCTTCCCGTCACAGTATCAAGTTCCTTTTTTTAAAATAGATTCATTGTCCTGGCAACAACCAGCCTTCCTGGCAACCCAGTCGTTAATTACTCACTAATTAAAGAACCGCTTCCTGGTATCTATCTGAAATTGCCTTTGCATAAATCTATGTCCTTCTGTTCTACTGTTTTGGTGCAGCATAAAATACTGTTCTGGAGTTACTTTTTCAATCCCAATATACAGTTCCTGACTAATGTGCTGCCATATGAATGTATGTCTGAAGGTAAGGTATCTAGTATGTGAAATGGGGAGATATTGCTGGGAAGTCTGGCAAACTGGAAACAAAAGGAGAAATGGATAAATAAAATGTTAAAAATGCCTCGATTGCTGCTAAATATTCCAATAGTTTATTATTACTCTGCTAAACAGAAATGCATGAAATTTTATTTCAGCTACAGTATATAATAAATAATAATACTTGCATTTGATACCGCTTCTCAAACCGCTTCACAGAATATTACTGTAAAGTGTATTTTGTGTATTTTGTATTTTGTGGCCATGAAAATACCTAACATATGTATATCTAACACAATATACCTAACATAATCCAACCATTAATGTGAAGGTTAAAAGGCAAAAAAGCACAGCAAGAAAATATTCAAGAAAATGTGCATAACTAGAATCAAAGGAATTACATTTTTACTCAATCATAATTTACCTATAAATGTTTTTATCTTCTAAATATCCCAAAGCAATTTGTGACATTGAACCTGTAAAATATCAGAGAGAGTGATTTACAACAACAAAAATAGCTTGCATTTATATAGAGCCTTTCACATTGGGTAGTGTCTCAGAGCGCTTAACCAGGCTTGATCCTGAGCCAGAAGAAGGGAGGGGAGGTGACTGCAGTTACATTTAAAGACATAGGCAGGTGTGATCTGTAGATGGTCAAAGGGAGACAGGAGGAGGGATTGAGGCAAAGAGTTCCAGAGTTTTGGGGTATAGTGGCTGAAAGCACGTCCGTGGATGGTGCAATGGAGGGGAGAGAGACATGCAGGAAATCTGAGTCGGCTGAGCAAAGGGGGCAGGTAGAGGAGGGATGTGCAAGCAGCTTGGAGATAGGGTGGTGCCAGCATGAAGTAGTTTATATGCGATTGAGTGTGATCTTGAAATCAATCTGTTATACAATAGAGCCAATGGAGCCTGGCAAGGACTGAGGATGGGGATGCAGAGTTTAGTATGGGTGAGCGTGCAGGTGGCAGTTTTAAATTGATTTTATGAATAGTGGAGCTGGAGAGACTGGTGAGGAGGGCACTTGAGTAATTGAGGCAGGAGATGGATAAGGGTTTTAGCTGTGTTAGGTGTGAGGTATGGTCAAAAGTAGAAAATGTGACAGCGTGGATGACAGTCAGGAACCAGATGTGAAGTAGAAAGCAAAGCTGATGATCAAACCTGACACTTAGGTTATGCATAGGTTCAGTAAGTCTGAGAGATAGGCCAGGGAGGTTAAGGTGGTCAGAGCCACAGTTGAGAAGACATTGACTGGATTCAAGGAATATGGCTTCCATCTGGTTGGCATTCAGCTGCAGAAAGTTAGCGGTCATCCAGGAAATTGGAAAATGTATTAATAAATGTAAATGATATAATGGATTTTCACTGTACTGTATTATGTTAGATACTGCAGTAACTTGAATGAAGCATGTATTTCTGACATGCATTTTTAGAACTTTGCAGTTTGCATTTACAGGAGAAATATGCAGATGTATGTTGCAAGATAGCTGGAGTCAGGTTGGAGATTTCTCCTTGATGGGTTTCTAGGGACTTTTTTGGCTCCTTCTTGTCTATTTATCTATGTATTTATGTACAATGCAGTCTGTACTTTTAAATAGTTTAAACATCCACTATGTAACCACACATACATGGTAGGTCTTCTAATTTGTAAATTTACTTTTAGATTTCAATGGTATTTCTGTACGCAAATAAATCCTTCATTTTCTATGCTGATTGTGTCCCCTCCATGTTGAATAGATCTACCCCATTCACATTTCTCCCTCTTCCCATTCATATTTCATACCTGTTCCCCTGACAGATGCTGTCCAAAGGGCCCTGACACACTGTTTCTGTTTCCCTGGTGCTCATTTATACTGTCCTCATTCACACAGTGTCCTGATCCCAAGCACATATTACCCCCAATACCTTGGTCCCCAACCATACCCCACCCCATCACCGCTCCATCCCTTGTTAAATCTCCAGACCTCTGCTTCAAACCATCCTTAGTTTCCTGACATATTGTGCCCATTCTCCAAGTTCTCATCCACACACTGTCTCAATCCCTGATCCCGAGAATAAACTTGTAAGGGCTCTGAAATCATAAGGCTGGCTCTGCACTTGGCATGTACAATATATTCTGTTCAGCGCTTTAAGACATCTCAACAATGTGATAAGGCGCTATATGAAATGCAAGGATTATTATAACATGGCTGAGATTGGAATCTCGAGTGCAGGACGAGGCATGAAGTCATGTCCTACTATTATGTGCCATTAGGTGGCAGAGCTCCCACTACTGGAACACCGCACAAAGACGTAAATCCACAACATTGCCTGCTGTAATAAGATTACACTTTATTTTAATTTACTTCAAGGATATTAGAAAATATAGAAATGTTCGGGGGGGGTCTTCGATTTGTCTCATGTGCTTTTTATTACAATCAGAAAAATCCTTTTTGCAGACAACTGTGTATTTTAAATCTGAAAAGAACAATCCATTAAAGTTATTTTATCATATTTTACAGAAGAATGTGCACAAAAAAACGAAAAGACACAGAAACTTATACAAAGAGAAAATCAACAAAACTACAGGAGAGAACCAAAGCTCTTATGAATGCATTCAACAGCTAAATTGGAGATCTGAATACAAATCAGTCAGTATTTGTGCTCAACAGAAGATACTATTACCCAGACAATAATGAAAGCAGAAGGGAAAGATAAGTTATCATTGTGCCGTAAAGATTGGAGAGGCGAACAATTCCAGTAAAACCCACACTGTTACCAGTAGCAACAAGTAGCAGCTTCAACTCAGTTCCATAATAAGGTTTCATTTGAAGTTTTCACAGTTTCAATTAGTCACATACTGTACACACTATAATCAAAAGATCACTGCAGGGCTTTGTTATCTTGGCAACACAAGAAGCCGTGATCTGTTTACACCCAGGAATTACTATTTTCTCTAATAGAATCTCTTATTGATATGTATCTTTAAACATATGTAAATTCGTTTAGAATTATGCAATATGATGAAACTGTGACCACTTGAACAGAATAAGTCATTAAATAATGGCTCTATGCAACATAATTATCCTCTGAATTTGCTTCAACTTGGGAGGTGAACTCTCTTATCTTACCCCATTGGGAAGCATAGTTCCTAGACTGAATTACACAATACATTTGGCATGCGCATTGTGAAGCTATTTCCAAGTAAAGGAATATTTTTTGGTCAAAAAAGTAAAAGTATCCTGTCAATTGATTCCATTGAGAAGTGGCTGCAGTCAGGAGAGGAAACTAAATCGGAGATCTGAAAACATTATAAAAAGACAAATGTAAAGTTGGGTTCAGAGTCAGAAGGTTGTGGGTTCAAACTCCATGTCAGGCCTTGGGGCCAATGCTGAGTTTATGCTGACACCTCCAATGGATTGTTGGGGTTATTCTGCATTGTTGGAGATGCCAATATTCAGTTATGATGTTAAACCGAGGTCTAATCTGCCTGTTTGGGTGACATTAAAGATCCCATGGTAGTGTTCAAAAAGAGAAGGGAATTTCTTGCAGTATCCTGGCCAACAATTCCCCAAATCATATTGGTCATTCATTTTGTAGCTGACGTGGGATATTGCTGTGTAAATTGGCTGCCATGTTTGCCTACAAGATCCTACACTTCACAATATATACTCACTGCACTTCACAACATATACTGTGAAGTGCTCTGATATGTCCTCCCAATGTGAAAAGTTAACTGCAGGGAATATTTTTATGTTTAAAAATTAAAAAGATACTTGGCATTATTCAATAGCAATAATCAGATATTGAGGTTTAGGAAACACTGTAACATAGCAACAAGTTTTATTTATGTAGCTCTGTGGTGCAGTTAAATACCTGAAAGCACTTTACAGGAATGGAGTGGGAGCTTCAGTGGGGGAAATAGGGAGGTAAGAAGATGACTGAAGGTGCAGTCAAAGAGATAGGTTTTCAAAAGGGTGTTGAAAGCAGTGATTTTTATAAATATCATTTATCTGAACTCATCAATAAATGGTTTTAATTGTCTGCGATTGATTATTTTCTATACCTGTGTATCCAACTGGAAGAGCAAAACCATCAATGAGGGAAGGGCGAGCTGGCAACACTTGTGATGCCATATTCACATTGCAAACACTGTGAAATCATACTCTGGCTGGCAACATTGGAGATGTTATACTTTTAATGTCCACTTAGTGGCTCTATTTATATTTACATTGCACTGTTCAAAAGGTATTTTATCAGCCAAGTCCCGCTCGCCCATCGACAAGGTTACGAAATGGATAGTAAAGATAACATTCAGTCAAGTCCCAATCTTCCAACACTGAGTATAACAATTATTTGATAACATTATCGCCACCAAACAAGAAAAGATTTATACTTGTTTTCTTTATAAAACTACACTACTGCACGAAAGCAACAGAGATACAATGAGTAGTGGTACTGTAGAAGGCTACACTATCTATTAGGGCAGGAAATCAGGACTGAATCACCCGTTAATAAAAAGCGGTAAAATGACAATGTTTAAGAAAATCAAAGTAAAATTCTAAAATGCGCAAATCGTTGTTGTTTGCAAATACAGTACGTGTATTTAGAATGTAACGAGTGGATTTATTCTACTCTTAAAGTCAAGATTAAAATTGATGTTAAAAAGACATAAAACTACATTTGAAAAAACGAAATACAAACATTAACAGTATATGCTGATGCTTTTGTCCTATTTATTTGAAAGGTACAGTTTACTTAAGAGCTGGATTATTTTCAACCACTTCAAAATCATAACAATAACAAACGACTAAACAATCCGTGGGATATAAAGGAACAGGGTTTAGTAGGTAATATCTCAGAAATAGAAATAGAACCAGCTCATTCAAAATATTTAGTAAAATTGTGTGAGCGCAGCTGCCTGGAAAACTGGAAAAACCCTGAACGCATGGTGTGTGTTGAATTCCAACCTTTAAACAAGATCTGTGTAAATATTTATTTAAGAAGTGATGGAATCAATTCGGGTGAAACGATGTTGCCACTGTATTCCATCCAACCTTACAATCGTGTCTTAATGTATTATCACAATCATGATACACATTAGCAAACTATTGCTTCCGGCATCATAACTTACTACAGGTCTGGCAAGGAGCTGATTATTTATTGTGAGGAGCTTGTGTGAGAAAAAACATCATAATACTGTATAATCTAATGAGAACTTCAAGCCCTATTTTTCAGGTGATCAAGTGCAGTCTTTTATAAAATAAAACAGGGCATGTGTTTATTCCAATGTTGGCCCGCAACATATCTTGTATGTGTACTTTAAGCCATGCTTCGCCTAATATATGTAACAACTTCATAGTCATATTTCGTATTGATGGCTGGCGGGTGCCTTGTAATAATTCTTGTGAAGAAAGTGGAAATGTTAAGCAAAGTTTGTTTAATGTAATGGGTAACTTCAAGAAGTTTATACCATTGTGCACAACAATGGTATGTATACACTGTGAGAACTGAAATAATCCCCAAAACACAATTTTAGGTAACTGTGAATTAGACATTCTTGGCAGACTTGAAATAAACATCATTTGTAATTCAAGGAGTGTCACTACAGAAATATCTGATGTTTCTGCCTACCTGACCTCTGCTTGTCAGCTGTCTGTTTAAATATTAATAATTTACCCGAAACTGCTTTTCATTTTATATGATTTTAGAGGAAGGAAAACACAGGTGGGGTTGGGCCTTTGATTTGTGTTTCATTGTGGAAACCATCCGTCAAATAGAATAATAATAATAATCCCTACATTTGGTACAGCACCTTTTACATAGGGAGGGAGTTTCAAAGCACTTCACAGGATAATACTTTTTAAGTGTGTTTTGTGGGTGGACCTGACAGCCAAGTTACACACAGCAACATCCCGCAAACAGCCATGAAATGAATGACCAATTTTATAAGCTGCATTGTGGCTTTAAAATAATAATTATACTCTTTCCATTTAATATAATGCTTTTCACGGTGGAAAAGAGCCAGGATTTACTGTAAAGTGTAGTGACTGTGTACCTTTGTAGCCTAATTATGAACAGTAATTTTTAAGAAGCACCAATTCATAAAATCATTGTTTTTCAGCCGTTCTTCCTAAGTTCATAACAAAGATTTAAAATCTTGTTAGTGATTCGGAAAGGATGAAGTGCACTCACTTAAGCATTGCCGAGGATCGTTTAAAGATATTTGTTGTTGAACGTATGTCGAGCAATACGCAATGGATGGGAGGAAGGGGGCGATGCGATAATTATCCCCAGTGACAGTGATCACACTGTACCCCACGGTTTACCCCCAACACTCACACTCACCCCATTCACCCGCTTTTCGATTGCAGGAGTAATATTAGTATCAGTTGCCGTACATTAAACCGCCGAGACGACAATTCTTGTCATTGATAATTGTGTCATTTTGAAATCGGCCGAAAAAACAACTTTTTTAAAACAAATCACTGATTTTATCACAGCACAAAATATAAATATTGTTTTTCTATTATGTACAATTCCATTCCACGGGGCGCAAAATTAATTACATTGTGCGATCGGCGGTGACTCATTTACTGTTAAACTGTCTGAGTTGATGAGAAGATGAACGTCTCTGTTAAGCGATGGGGTTTCCCACGAGTTAACAACAGTGACTCCGACTCCCAGAGCCGCTGCGGGTTACAAGTCGCTTCTGTTGCACACTCGGTGTCCCCCACCGATCCCCCACCGATCCCGGTATCACCACAGGAAACAACCCGCACTCACCCGTAAACACTACAAACGGACTCTGATGTATCTGCTGTTCACAAGTGTGTGATCGCCCCCCCCCCCCCCCCCCCCCAGGGCTCACCCCAGGGCTCAGTCTGTGGTTAATCATTGCCCGCAGTCTGTCTGTGGATCACAGACACGGACTTGTCGCACTGATCTGTTTGGTGGCGGTGGAGTGGTTTCTGGGGTCAGTGGTGCGGTCCTGTTGCGGGTTTCGATATTTGTTTTAAAGAAAGACTCGCAGCGGAAAGGAGGAAAGTGCGGGAGTGTGGACAAGCCCTCCCCCCCCCACAGCCCCACAGCCCCCCCCACCAGCCCCAGCCCTCCCCCCCCACCAGCCCCAGCCCGCCCCCCCACAGCCCCCCCACCAGCCCCAGCCCGCCCCCCCCACAGCCCCCTCACCAGCCCCAGCCCGCCCCCCCCACAGCCCCCCACCAGCCCCAGCCCCCTCACCAGCCCCAGCCCGCCCCCCCCCCCCACAGCCCCCTCACCAGCCCCAGCCCGCCCCCCCACAGCCCCCCCACCAGCCCCAGCCCCCTCACCAGCCCCAGCCCGCCCCCCCCCCACAGCCCCCTCACCAGCCCCAGCCCGCCCCCCCACAGCCCCCCCCCAGCCCCAGCCCGCCCCCCCACAGCCCCCCACCAGCCCCAGCCCGCCCCCCCACAGCCCCCTCACCAGCCCCAGCCCAGGCTGCCCCCCTCCCCACAGCCCCAGCCCGCCCCCCCACCAGCCCCAGCCCGCCCCCCCCACAGCCCCCCCAGCCCCAGCCTGCCCCCCCCAGCCCCAGGCTGCCCCCCAGCCCAGCCTGCCCCCCCCCAGCCCCAGGCTGCCCCCCCAGCCCAGCCTACCCCCCAGCCCAGCCTGCCCCCCCCCAGCCCCAGCCTGCCCCCCCCCCCCAGCCCAGGCTGCCCCCCCCCCCAGCCCAGGCTGCCCCCCCCCCCCCCAGCCCAGCCTGCCCCCCCCAGCCCAGCCTACCCCCCAGCCCAGCCTGCCCCCCCCCAGCCCCAGCCTGCCCCCCCCCCAGCCCAGGCTGCCCCCCCCAGCCCAGGCTGCCCCCCCCCCAGCCCCAGGCTGGAGCCGGGAGCCGGGAACAAGGACCTGTGGAGGGAGGAGAGAGATGGAGTTGGGAGTTGAGAGCCTCTCTGTTGATCGCTCTGAAGACACCGCAGGACAACAGTAGTAGTTGTGAAAGTTGGAGCGGCTGAGGAGCAGCGGAGCGGAGAGAGGAGCGGAGAGCGGAGAGAGAGGAGCGGAGAGCAGAGAGAGCGGAGCGGAGAGAGGAGCGGAGAGCAGAGAGAGCGGAGCGGAGAGAGGAGCGGAGAGCAGAGAGAGCGGAGAGAGGAGCGGAGAGCAGAGAGCGCGGAGCGGAGAGAGGAGGAGAGGAGCGGAGAGAGGAGCGGAGAGCGCGGAGCGGAGAGAGGAGGAGAGGAGCGGAGAGAGGAGCGGAGCGGAGAGAGGAGCGGAGCAGAGGTTTATGCTAATGAGCTCCAGCGGCGGTGGAGCCATTTTGAAACGAAATCAGTTTCCAACTAAACGTAAAAGTGGGGAGAGAAGAAGAGAGAAGGAGAGAGAGGAAGAAAGAAGAGAACGAGGGGGAGAAGAGAAGAGGAAAAGAGCGTAAGAGACAGAGACAGAGAGAGAGAGAGAGAGCAACTCCTGGCGGTGCCGCTCCAACTTATCAACTTACACTCCAACTCCAGCGTCTGCTGATCGGAAGCTGTGCCTCTGTGTGTGTCTGTGCTGTGTGTGTGTGCTCTGTGCTGTGTGTGTGTCTGTGCTGTGTGTGTGCTCTGTGCTGTGTGTGTGCTCTGTGCTGTGTGTGTGTCTGTGCTGTGTGTGTGCTCTGTGCTGTGTGTGTGTCTGTGCTGTGTGTCTGTGCTGTGTGTGTGTCTGTGCTGTGTGTGTGTGCTCTGTGCTGTGTGTGTGTCTGTGCTGTGTGTGTGCTCTGTGCTGTGTGTGTGCTCTGTGCTGTGTGTGTGTCTGTGCTGTGTGTGTGCTCTGTGCTGTGTGTGTGTCTGTGCTGTGTGTCTGTGCTGTGTGTGTGTCTGTGCTGTGTGTCTGTGCTGTGTGTGTGTGTGTGTCTGTGCTGTGTGTCCTCTGTGCTGTGTGTGTCTGTGCTGTGTGTGTCTGTGCTGTGTGTGTGCTCTGTGCTGTGTGTCTGTGCTGTGTGTCTGTGCTGTGTGTGTCTGTGCTGTGTGTGTGCTCTGTGCTGTGTGTCTGTGCTGTGTGTGTCTGTGCTGTGTGTGTCTGTGCTGTGTGTGTGTCTGTGCTGTGTGTCTGTGCTGTGTGTGTGTCTGTGCTGTGTGTCTGTGCTGTGTGTGTGCTCTGTGCTGTGTGTGTGCTCTGTGCTGTGTGTGTGCTCTGTGCTGTGTGTGTGTCTGTGCTGTGTGCTCTGTGCTGTGTGTGTCTGTGCTGTGTGTCTGTGCTGTGCTGTGGGCAGTGAGGAGTGTGCGGATACCAGGATGCTATCTGGTTGGGGGTTTGTCCAGTGTGTGTAAGTGCGGACACCATGTGGCTGTGTTCCTGGAGTCTCCTCACGGTGCTGCTCAGTGTCCCGCACCGGGTGTGTACTGAGCTGCGCGTTTGGCAGACGGTCGGCGGCGCGGGAGAGGCGGTGGAGGTGGAGGTGGTGTGGGGGTCGGGGTCGGGGTCTGGGGGCGGGCGGTGCCTCCCGCTCCCGCGCCCCCCCCCGGGCTGCCTGTGGCTGGAGCGGGCGGGCGAGGAGCTGAGGCTGAGCTGTCGGCTGCTGTGCGCCTCCCGGCCGCCCGGTCCCGCCGCCCTCAGCCCGTGGGGCCGCGCCGCCCCCCGCCTCCGGCTGTATGTTCACGGTCAGGACTGCTTCAGCAAATACCGGAGGAAGCGGCCCCCGCGCCATCCCAGACCGCGCCGGGGCGCCGGGGTCCGCGGCCCCCCCGGGGCCCCCGGGACACCCGCCTCGCTCAGGTGTCGCGGTGTAAAGGCTTCGCGGTTGGGGCCGGTGCCGGTGCCGGGGGGGGCGGTGCCGGGGTCGGGGTCGGGGGGGCCGGGGTCGGGGGGCTGTCTGCTCCCGGGGGGGGAGCGGCTGGTCGCTGACGTGCTGTGCACCGCGGCCCCGGGGGGCAGCCGACAACAACAACAACAACACCACCACCACCTGCTGCTGCTGCTCCGCCTGGAGGTGCCCGGCGCGGGCCGGGGGGGGGTCCCGGGCCGGGGGGGGGACCCCCCGCCCCCGCGGACAGGCGGCCGGAGGAAGAGGAGCGCGAACGGCAGCCCTCACTTCCAGCGCCCCAGTTACCACGTCTCTGTGGCCGAGAACGAGCCCCCGGACACCCGCGTGATCGTCCTCAAAGCCACCGACCCGGACCGGGGCGCCGCCGCCAGACTGCGCTACACCATAGAGTCCCTGAAGAACAAGCGGTCCAGCGACTACTTCCAGATGGACCCCGACACCGGCACAGTCAGCACCACACAAGCCCTGGACCGGGAGGACGCCGAGACCCACGTGTTTAAAGGTGTTTTTCTCTCTCCCCCTCTGCCGTCTCTCTTATTATTGTTGGAGTATTTATCATAGAGTTATACAGCCCAGAAGGAGGCCATTCGGCTGTGGGCAGAGCGCCCCAACCCCGGTTACTTACAGGCGGTGTGTTTCAGTCTTCCAAAAAAAGAATAGAATCCGCATTCAGTTTCTGTGGTTGAATCTCCTGGAAGAATCCTTTCCGTTTCTGTTTAAAACCTCGATTTAGATTTTTGATCCCATTTATATGTTAAACACATCTACGTCCACACTATGATTTATCACTCTTGACAATCAAATATCTCACTCTTACATTCCCGGTGTTGACCGACCGACCGCTGTGATAATCCTGACCGTATCCCCGTTTATTTTATTTTACACCACTTTGCAACAAATGCATGAATTACAGAACCTAAGGTGTTATTTTGGTGGCACTCTCCTAAGTGGAGTGCTCTGACATTCGCCCACAAAATACACAATCAATCCACTTGACAGTATATCCTGTGAAGCGCTTTGACATGTCTCGCTGACCTGATAAGGAGTTATATCAAATGCAAGGATTATTACTGTACATCATTCTCCACTGAGGTGATGGACAAGTGAGCTGCTCCTGTGACTGATATTTTGCAAGGAATGATAGTGAGAAGTCCCAGATTAGTCCCTGGTGACTAGTTTCACTATGTGTTTGGGGAATAGCACAGCTTCCTGCCTGGACAGATTCAATAGCAGTGCTCAGGGTGAGTATGTCCTTAAGGTGCAGTTTTTGCGCCTGCAATTCTTCTACTGATACTAATATGGCAAAATGCATTTGAGCACACCTGTTGCAAAACCACACTGCCTGTAGCTGAGTTTATTTGTGGGCTTGCCTGCATTCAGTAGAAATTAAGAAAGATCAATATTCGTTGTATTTTGCTATGCTTCGCAGTGGGCACAGGACAGTTGTGTGTGTGTCCATTCCCTATATTCCCGGCTTCCTTGGAGATGCATTAATTTAATGCATTATGCACTCAAGGAGTGGGGAATAGAAATTGTGAAATTGTGTTTGGTGTTCTTAGCTCCTGGCACTGAAGCTTCTTATCAAACTCACCAAGGGGTTGTTGTATGAATGAAACTGTTAACCTGATGGCTCCATTGATGAGTTACTGGCCGGGCATTGAATAGGTATTGAAATGCATAGATCACAAAGAAGATCCCAGGTTCTTCTCTTTGCTGAGTTAGTTGACCCCTGGAGTGATGTAAGCGTTGTTACATTTAGCATCGCTGCCTTGGGCTAGAAAGGTGATAAAACAGCAGGGATCCTGCTTGAGATTTCTACTAAGTGGCCACTGCTGGAGTCAGGAAAAAGAAAATGCTTGATTTATCTTGCCTATTTTGACATTGATATTTAGCTGGTATGTATACTTAATGCAGACACAGATGAAAGGCAAGTGTGTAATTCATTATCACAAATGGTTATTGAAGCTGGATCAATAGGATAATTGGAAAGGAAACTAGATAAGCAGCTAATTGATGTGTTATCATACTAAGGGATATGGGATAAACCTGGAAAGTATGGATAACAAAAAGGGTAAATTTAAAATCACAGAGGGCTGAATGGTCTCCTTTTGTGCTGAATATTTTTGGTTCCATAAAGCAAAGATCATTTTAAACTGCCAGGGTGTAGATTAACTCTGTAATTTATCCATGTAAACTCTTATCCGTTTGAGAAGCTTGATCCAAACTTACTACATTTTCTTTGGAGCTGAATAATAATTGGAGTTGTAATCTTAGCAGAGATATTGATCCAGTCATTTATTAGTGGTGTACAGGGTTGTTAAAGTATTTATTATTTAATAATAACCCCATATAATTAATATTGCCACCTAAATGGGTGAAAATTTCCAGTATTGTGGATATGTTTAGGATCAGAATGAGAAAGTAATGGTTGCTCGGGAGTACAGTATAATTTACAATTCAAAAGTTTTTTTTTGTACATGGCATAAGAGCACAAGAATTTTTAAGACGGGGAAAAAAATCTTCGATCCCCTCAACAACCCAGTCCCATTTTGATGGTTCTAAACTCAAGATTCATAAAGCCTTCTCTTTCTAGAAACATGTCCAGCCAAATGAAGAAGCAAAGAAGCACGTTTGGAATTGAAGAACATTGCTTAATTGTTCATTTTGCAAATTTAAGTAATAAGGACTTAGTTTTATACTTTTCTTCAAATGCTACTGATCACTGATTAGAATTCATGTAAATACGACAGAACAAATCCAAAATGCAATGCCTGGACATTGGCAATTATTTTCACCTTGACTACTGCTGTATTTTATTGTTATAATGCAAGAGATGAAAGGCAAGGTTGTTTATGACTCAACTGAGATCTAAATCTCAGACTGTGTATAGTTTTATTTATTAGCTCTATAAACTTTTTTTATTGTAGATAATAATACTTGCATTTGATATAGTGCGTTATCACGTCTTTGAGATGTCTCAAAGCACTTCGCAGAATACACTAACGTGAACTGACTTTATTTGTGGGCGAAACGCAGCAGCCAATCGTGCAAACAGTCGTGAATTGAGTGAGCAAGTTTTTAAAAAAGGAGTCATTACCCCCTTTATGAATCGAGAATGCAACTAAATATTTGTGCATCACATATATCTGTTTGTGATGACTTGCCTACAGGATATACAGTCCCAGTAAATCCTGTTAAGCACTTTGAGACATATTCCTGACGTGAAAGGAGTTGTACCAAATGCAAGGATTATAATTGTCTACTCTTATTATTTATTATTATGTGTGCTTGATTAATTGCAGCAACATCAATTCTCCCTTTAAAATTCACACTTTGGCCAACCTGAAAGAATATTGTCTTCTTGGACCATTAATAAAAGCTTAACTTCTGAAATACAGGGTAACCAAAAAGTTGTATAACTACTCTATTATCTAAAAAAATCATAATTTCTTTAAAACTTATTAAACATTGGAATGGTAACACGACTTTTTGGTTACCAAAAATAAACTCCAAAGTCCCGGGAAAAGCTGCTTAAAAACTAATTGTGTTTACTAAATTCTATTTGACCACTAGTAGGTGATTATTGACAAATGTTTGTCCTCTTTCTCCAAGAAAGATCGTTTTCTCCTCTATTTACCTGTTTTGAGGCTTATTCCCCCCCAAAGTTGTATGAATGATGTGTGTTTTCCATTTCCTTGCATGGCTGGCCGTTATTCATGTATGGACCTTGATAGTGAAGATTGGGAGGCTGTTTGACAAACCTTGATTCTGTCTTCACCTGCCATACATATACACACACCTCATTTTCCAGCTTCTCATGGCTTTAGTTAGCCATAAGAAGCAGGAACCCCGAATATTCTTTCCCTAATCTAGTGACAGTTTCAATTGAAGCTCCCTAGTGCAGAGTCTCTGACATCGGCTAATTTGTACTGGCAATCCCCTAACCCACAACTTTCTTGTTTTTATGGGCTGGTGTTGCTCTGGACATTGTCTTTATCTATTAGGCTATTTGGGCCCATTACTGAAATTTGACAGTCAAGAAGAATTAGTAGTGGGCAGTTTGCTGCATATGAGTTAATAATTCAAATACACACATATAGGAAGATGTAATAATGATAAAAGCTATCAAGCTACACTGGGTGAAAGGTGCAATATAGATGCAAGTTGTTGTTTGTTGTTGTGAGATTGTATCTGCAGGTATTAGAGATTAACGATTATTTATATTTCCTGACATATCAACTTTTTTTCCTTTTAAGTCACTGCATACGACCATGGAACACCTCGTAAAATGGGAGCTGCAATCCTGATTGTGACAGTCAGTGATGTGAATGACCATGCCCCACTCTTTGAGCTGTCTGAGTATAGAGAAATCATCCGGGAGAACGTGGAGGTGGGCTACGAGGTGCTGACCATCAGAGCAACCGACAGCGATGCACATTCCAATGCGAACATGCTGTACCGCGTTGTCAACAGTGAGGGAAACAATGCTGTCTTTGAAATCGATTCCCGTTCCGGGATTTTGAGGACCAGAGAGATTGTAGATCGGGAATTGGTGTCCGAATACCATTTAATAGTGGAGGCAAATGATCAGGGCAAAGACCCTGGTCCTCTTAGTGCTACGGCAGCTGTTTATATAACTGTAGAGGACGAGAACGACAACACCCCACAGTTTACTGAGAAACGGTATGTAGCGCAAGTGCCTGAAAATGTTTCTGTAAATACTAAAATCCTGCAAGTCAAAGCTACTGATCAGGATAAAGGGAACAATGCTTTAATTCATTACAGCATAGTGAGTGGAAATATAAGAGGTCAGTTTTACATAGATTCCATGACTGGCAATATTGATATTACTAACCCATTGGATTACGAGACAACGAGAGACTACACCCTTCGAATCAAAGCGCAGGATGGTGGGAGACCACCGCTGATCAACAGTACTGGCTTGGTCTTAGTACAAGTAATTGATGTGAATGACAATGCCCCAATATTTGTAAGCACACCTTTTCAGGCCACAGTATTGGAGAATGTAGCTGTTGGATATTCGATAATTCACATCCAGGCTATCGATGCTGATTCTGGGGAAAATGCTCGCTTGGAATACAGACTGATAGATACACCTGCAGACTTTCCACTTATTATAAGCAATAACACTGGTTGGATTACAGTTGCTGTGGAATTGGACAGAGAGACTAATGATTTTTATACTTTTGGTGTAGAAGCCAGGGATAACGGGGTCCCTTATATGACTTCCTCTGCTGATGTCAGTATCACTGTGTTGGATGTGAATGACAACCATCCTACCTTTACTGAAAGAGCTTATTATCTAAGGCTAAATGAAGATGCACCCTTGGGTAGCAGTGTGTTGACAGTCACAGCAATCGACAAGGATGTTAACAGCGTGGTGACCTATCAGATTTCAAGTGGAAATACAAGAAATCGTTTTTCAATAACCAGCCAAAGTGGTGGTGGGCTGATCACTTTAGCTTTGCCCTTAGATTACAAGCAGGAAAGACAGTACGTCCTTACAGTTACGTCGTCTGACGGAACACTGATGGATACAGTTCAGGTATATATCAACGTGACCGATGCCAACACACACAGGCCAGTATTCCAGAGCTCACATCACACAGTCAGCATCAATGAGGATAAACCGGTTGGTACAAAAGTGATGGTTATCAGTGCGACTGATGAGGATACAGGAGAGAATGCGAGGATAACGTATTTCATGGAAGACAATATCCCCCAGTTTAAGATCGACCCAGACTCTGGAACCATTGTTACACAAATGGAGCTGGACTATGAGGACCAAGCATCATACACATTGGCAATAACTGCAAGAGATAATGGAATCCCTCAGAAATCTGATACCACCTATGTTGAAATTCTGGTTAACGATGCTAATGACAACAGCCCGCAGTTTGTGCGAGATCTGTACCAGGGCACCATCTATGAAGATGTTCCCATGTCCACTAGCGTGTTGCAGATTTCAGCCACTGACCGTGATTCAGGGCTCAATGGGAGAGTGTATTATACATTCCAAGGTGGTGATGATGGGGATGGAGATTTCTACATCGAAACCTCATCGGGGATTGTTCGAACAGGAAGAAAGTTAGACCGAGAGAATGTGCCAGTTTACAATTTAAAAGCCTATGCTGTGGACAAGGGTAACCCACCACTTAAGGCAGTTGTGAACATTCAGATCACTGTACTGGATGTAAATGACAATGCTCCTGCTTTCGAAAAGGATGAGTTTGACCTTTTCATAGATGAGAATAGTCCTGTTGGCTCATCGGTAGCTAGGATCATAGCGACGGATCCTGATGAAGGAACAAATGCACAGATAATGTATCAGATAGTGGAAGGAAACATTCCTGAGGTTTTCCATTTGGATATGTTTACAGGAGACCTTTCTGCCCTTACAGATCTGGATTATGAAATGAGAACTGAATATATCATTGTGGTCCAAGCCACTTCAGCACCTTTGGTTAATCGAGCCACAATTCACATTCGGCTTGTGGATCAAAATGACAATGCTCCAGTACTTAGAAATTTTGAGATCATTTTTAACAACTATGTTACTAACAAGTCAAATAGCTTTCCTTCAGGTGTGATAGGGAGGATTCCAGCCTATGACCCGGACGTATCGGACAATCTTCTTTACACCTTCGTGGAGGGCAATGAATTGAATCTTCTGATTTTGGATCAATACAGTGGACATCTAAAATTGAGTCAGAACTTGGACAACAACCGACCTCTAGAAGCAATCTTGAAGATCTCGGTCACAGGTAGGATGGAGACGATTATTTCCTAACTACTTGAATCTATAATGAAACCCAGAACTAAATAACTGGTCAAGTAGCTTTTTTTTTAAAAGAATGTTTGTTGTTTGAACTTTGAAAGAGATGCAGTAGAATGTTTTGAAGATATGTTTATTTGCATCTCAACAGTTGTTTACTGTATTAATTGTTACATTATTGTACTATTGTTGCAATTTTATAAAAACAATTCATGATCAATCAGCAACCCTTCGTGAAGGGGCAAGTTTATCAGCAATGCTTAGAAGCGATCCTGGTAATTATGTTGCATTATGTATCATTTTTTAAAGTTGAATATAGTGTAAGGCCTTTCAGTGCATTTAACTCACTGCCATCTCTACGACTCTGCAAATGTTTTTTCTTCCTGTCCTGTCGCATCACCTGTGGCATATCCTAAGGCTCCACCCTTAGCCCCCTTCTGGTCCCTTACCAGGATCACTTTCTTCCATCTCCACCACATTGCCTCCCCCACACCTTATTCTTACACCTAACATAGCCAAAACCCTTATCCAGGCATTCGTCCATTCCTACCTCTATTATTCCATTGCCCTTCTCGCCGGTCTCCCCAGCTCCACCATTCGTAAACTCCGGCACCCACATCCTGACACACACAAAACTGTACCCCCATTAGTCGAGTCCTCGCCAGGCTCCAATGGCTCGCTATTGCAGAATGGATTGATTTGTGGAAAATTGTTTTGTTATTCGATCTCAACATTCCAGAATACCACCTTTACTGATCTCCAAATATAGCATCTAACTCTTTGTCACATGAGCCCTGGCCTCAACTTTCCTTTCTTATGTGTATAAAATGACCCGTACCTGAAATGATACAGTGCATCCTGAAGAGAAAACTGGAAATCTGACTAAGCTACAATAATAATCCTTATTTTTGGTATTGTGTCTTTCAAATCGGCAGAACGTCTCAAAACACTTTACTGGATATACTGTAGTTTGGAGTGTGCTATTTCTTTGAATCTGGTGCTTTTAAGTATAATTCCTCCATCCATATTTTCTGTTACCTGAGCTGAAGTTTGTAATGTGGGATTGTGAAGAACTGTTGACGCAGTTACACCTACTTTAAAGCAGAAGAATACCTTGTGGTTATTAAATGCAAGATTGGAAAGGGAGGAGAACCTTTTCAGAATGTGCTAAGCCACATCAAAACATTTGTAATGAACCTGGAATCTCTGATGCCTTGTACTGTTGTCCTCTAGTGAGTATTGAATTGTGAGATTGTAACCTGTGGAGCAAAACTAAAGAAAAGGACTAAGTGAGAAGGTCAAAAATGAAAGTTTCTGCTCAGGCTCTTTAGTACCCAAACGTCATAACTTACTTATGTATTGCAGAGGGAAATGCAATGGGAAGTACTGGAGAGTCATATTGCAACATTGATCACATTGACCAAAAATGTGGTCAATAACAGTCCACTGGTCTTGTGGGGGGTGTTGCTAAGAATAGTGAAAGCTATACACTGCTTTTGGTCACATTTTGATTGATCAATGTGATATTTTTGAACCTCCACATTTTTTTTAAGGTTGTCCAACCCAAATTAAGTACGGTACTTGCTTCAGACCTCCTGCAGTTCATTACGTAGAAAGTGAGTGCTGGATTGAAACCCATGACCACTGCAGTGATTAGATTAAAATCCCTTTGCGAGTTCTTGGGAGAGGAAGTGGAATCTAGGACATAAAATTGGTTATGGTTTAAATCAGCTTAATTTGTTACACTAGTGCTGGTTGGTCCATAATCTTCAGTTTACGGTAGAAAAGGGAACCTTCGTAACAAAGAAACGGGGAACTGATTAATTCGATTGTTTTGAATACTTGGGATTTGAATTCAGCCAGACATTGTGATGCAGGATTAAATCTTGATTTAGTTAATGCCTTTTGTTACTTTCAAAGTTGACTTCTCCAGTGTTATTGTAGCAGCCTCCCAACCTCTACTATTTAGAAATTTCAGCTAGTTCAACTTTCAGCTGCTTGTATCCTTACTTGCAGTAAGCTTTGTCTATCACCTTGTGCTTGCTCTCCTCGACCGGCTCCCACTGGAAGGATTTTAATTCTACACTCTGAGCTGCAAATTCCTACACACCCTGGCTCCTCCCTACCTACCCCTGACCTTCTCTAGCATCACCCTCTTGCTTGCTCCCTCTGCTCCTGTAACTCGGTGTCCTTTGTCTTCCTTGTGCCCTCTACCTTGCCAATATCAGCAGCCAAGCCTCACCCCTTCTCAATCTGTTTGAAAACCTTCTGAAAAGTTACCCTCTCAACCATACCTATGATCACCACCGCCTCCCCTCAACCTCACTGTGTTGCATCTGGCAACAACTCTGAAAAGTACTTCAAGACATTGTTCTATACTCTGAATAGGACCCTGGCCTATCGCATTGCCGAGCAGTTGGTCATTGACAGAATTCCGAAAATGGCCTTTGCTGCTTTCTGGGAAGATGCCGCCTCAGAGATAATAAAGGAATAGGAGTGTAGGATTACATTTATGAATGAAGTCTCACTTTTAAATCTTAGTATTGTAAAGGATGTGGTGATTTTTTGTGTAGGTTGGGCTCCTGACAACTGGTTATTGGCTGTGCTCTGACTGGATCACCTGCTGACTCCAGCTTCTTTATTTCTAACTGTGGCTGTCAGCGGTAAATGTTTTTATAAAGCCCTTCATTCCATTCAGATTCCAGCTGTTGATAAAAGTCGGCATTCTCAGAGTTAATCATCTGCTTGGTTCTTTTCAAATTGTATCAATTGCTTGTGTGCCTTCTGTAGTGAAATACCAGAGTTGATTTCTAACATTCCCGAAGCTATACAAAGGGCAGCTGGGAGTAACCATACACTTGAAGCATGGATAGCTTGTTTGCCCCTTGGCAGGGAGAGAATGCTGCTGGCAATCATAGTCCAATATTGGAAATTATTGTAGCATAAAACAGGAGATTTAAGCAATGTTCATGTTCAAAGCAGCTTTTCCATTTCCCATTCTCATAAGCTTTTTTTTGGGGGGTGGGGGAAAATAGCTGCTGAAATCAAACACCTGCTTCTAACCTTGTTTGGATTTTGGAAAATTTAAATCACATTTTAACATATAATACAGCATTCCAGAAGATGTGCACCAAATCACACAAGAGGAAATTGAATCCCCGTGGATTTTAAGGGAATTATGCCCTCATTTGGTGTACACACGAGCATCATCAAGCAACACTCACTGTGATAATGATTAGAAATGCAACTGCTGAATAATTCTCCACTGCCTTCCTTTCTAGGCTAGGATACGAAAGCCAGTTGTAGTTCCCCCATTTCTCCCCTTGTTGCGATCAGACCTGGCACCTTGATGGCCTATATGGCTCAGGGCCATACCGTAACCGCATGTTCTCCCTCATCATACAGGAAGATCCCTGGCATGATTTCACCTAGTCCAGTGGGGGGATATACAACTTACTTTCAAGGACCTAACTATATTTATGAAAAGCCAGCGATTGATTTTTAAAAAGTTAATTTTTTTTAGAAAAGTTATCTCTGCCCTTTTACAACTGAAATAATAGCTGTCTTTCTCTCCAGTGTATGACTTGTTAAGTCCAAACAAATTTAAAAGGAAACATTTCACAATCTGATTTAATTTGGGGTACATGGGTCTTTATGCTGTTAATTGTTTCATGTTTATGCACCTAATGCTTTGTAGATTCTTTAATTGTACACTTTGTAGTTTCTTTAATTGTCACGCGTTTTGGATTGTAAACCTAAAATAGATCAAGGCATACAGGAGCTAGAACAGGAGAGACCAACAGTGTGCCAAAAGTTGATGAAGTATAATTTATCATGGATAATGGCTTTTAATTTGCTTAGGTCTTTTCATCTCCTCTTGCGGTGTGGGCAATTCAATAGTTAAATGTCTTTGATGTGCATCAAATCAAAATTGCTTGTTTTATAAGTCTCTACTTGCCTAGGCAGTTTGTCAGAAAAGACTAAACAGTACCTGCTGAAATGAATACAGCAGTTTCATTGGTCTAGGAAGGTATCGTACAGATGAGTTGCCAAGGGGATTAACTTTGATAAGTGCAATACAGTAGCTGCAGGGAAGCTTGTCATAGAATCATAAAATTATACAGCACAGAAGGAGGCCATTTGGCTCATCGTGTATGTGCTGGCTATTTGAAAAGAGCTTCCAAATCAAATCCACTCCCCCGCTCTCTCGCCATAGCCCTGCAAACATGTACTCCCCAAATAATTATCTACTTCTCTCTTAAAAGTTGTTATCAAATCGGTTTCCACCACACTTTCAGGCAATGCATTCCAGATCCGAACAACTTGCTGTATGAAAAAATGTCTCCTCACCTCCCCTCTGTTTCTTTTAACAGCTATTTTAAATCGGTATCCTCAGGTTACCAACCCACCCGCCAGTGGAAATAGTTTCTTCTTGTTCACCCTATCGAATGCCCTCATAATTTTGAAAATTTCTATTAAGTCTCCTCTTAACCTTCTCTGCTCCACGGAGAATAATCCGAGCTTCGCTAGCCCTCCTGATAACTGAAGTCCCTCATTCCGGGTACCATCCTGGTAAATCTCCTTTGCACCCTTTCCAATGCCTTGACATCCTTCCTAAAGTGTGGTGCCCGGAATTGAAAACAGTACTCCAGCTGAGGCCTAACCAGTGTTGTATAAAGGTTCATCATAACTTCCTGACTTTTGTATTCTATGGCCCTATTTATAAAGCCTAGTATCCTGTATGTTTTTTTAACAGCTTTTTCTATCTGTCCTGCCACCTTCAAAGATTTACTTACATGAACCCCCTTTAAGATTGTACCATCTACCTCCCAAAATGCATCACTTCATATTTCTCCTCATTAAACTTCATCTGCCACTTGTCTGCCCATTTTACCAGTCTGTCTATGTCCTCTTGCAGCTGCTACTATCTGTTTACTACTTTTCCTAGCTTAGTATCATCTGCAAACTTGGAAATTGTACTCCCTATAC